AACGAGTCGGGAAGAGACGATACGTTTCAATCAATCTAACAAAATAAAAGCGTTTTTTTTTTATAGCTTTTGTCTCTTCTAGTGAAAAATATTTTCTTCTCTTCAAATTAGATGGACATTACACTAATGTGGCCTTGTTTACTTTGGGTTTAATACTTGAGGAGAGAAAAAAATAAACCTAAAATCCAGTTGTGCTGAAAAGGAAAGTAACACAATTCTTCAAGTGGTTGTAAGATTATTTGACTACCTCCACAGAAAGATTGTTGAGTGCTGTCTAATTTAAGTCTACCAATGGGCCATTGGTCTACAGATACTTCCTCATATTTAAAGTACCAAGCAAATATTTTCAAGCAAATATTTTTTTATTCAAATTTGCACGTGTTAGAGAACCGACACGTCAATGAGGCAGAGCCAGAAAAAGCATTAGATGTTCTCGTATTTATCTCCACACTGAAAGGAAATGAAAATGATTCACCACGTGAAAACATGTCACCCCTCGTGGAGGTCCTGCTGTTTATAAGTCAGACCAAAACATATTCTGTTTTTATTCTTTTCTAGTTGATAAAAGGGTCAAGAAACAGTGGTGGTACTTTTTGTGCAGTGTAATTATTCAGTGAAAAACAGATACTTCTCAATAACTTAACTTAGCCTGAATATTATCTGTTTGTTGTGAGTGGATCACTGCGGGGAAGAAGCAAAGGATGAAAATAGAAACGAGAGACAGAGAGTAATTGATCTCTTATATTAAACAAGAAATAGACAATAACTGGGCAAGTTTTAATAAATGTAACTGTGCAGTTTCACTACTGTACATGTCCAATCCAGTCAAACAAAGTCGAGCTAAGGACAAAATAGACATTCTTCCTATTATCGGCTGCTTTTGTCTGTATATTTTTTTGTCTGTTTCCACAGTGCTAACACAAATACAACAGTTCCTCTCTCTGCTTTTGTCTTTCTGACATAACTGATGATTGCGAGGCGGCAGAATGACTGCCCTCAAGGTGAAAAAAAAAAAAAGCATAAAGTGATCAGTTCAGTGTGACACGGATCTAGAGACAGAAACATCAGACAGAGATATCAACACAGACGGAAGGTAGACGTGAAATAACAGCTGGAAATAAAGCTCAGCAATGAAAAGTGGATGGGATTACGACCAGGCTCCGTAGAATGCGTGCCATTTCCTGATTGTTTGTCGCCAGTGGGATCATGGCCAAAGCAGCAGTGTGAGGCACATGAGTGGTCATCAGGAGAGGAAAGGTGTTTCACAAAAACACACCATTTAAGAAAAAGGAGTGTTAATATAAGAAATGTCTTAATGTATTGATATAAGAAAACGTATAAACAGTATTTCTGTTTATAAACTAAGAGTAAATTGTAACATACTTTAACGATGACAGTTCTTAGGTCCCTATAATCGCTATTCCAAAATTATGTCCACATAAGTAAGCTATACCGGATCACATGAATACACATACTGTAAAGCCACACATACCGTTTTTTTTGTACTCCTATGTATGAGGGAGAAAAATGGTCAACATCCCCTAAAAGTTAACTGTACGTGTTCATAGAGAATGATCCGTCCTGTTAATGATGAAGATCACAGCTCAGGAGCTGCTGTGTCTCATCTCCAGTCCTCACACTAAGCTCAAGTTATGAAACATACATCACAAAGAGCCACCGTCAACACTGGCATATGGAGGAGAACAGAGGAGTCAGAGGGGAAATCATACACAGCCACAACCCATAACTACATGCACACACTCTCTATCCATGTTTCAGCTTTCACACTTGAAACCAGGATTAGGTGACATCACATTCACAGGTGCATTGTTCCCAACAGTGAATGCAGTATAATACAGTTTTCCTCTGTATTTTCCATCACATCAGTCATTATAAGCCCACGGCAGCTGCTGTAAAGACAGTCGGCTGATTTCCCTCACAGATTTGAAGAGGTGAATGGCATCCTTCAATTTCATGTTTACAAGAGTATGTTAAAAAAAGAGAAAATACTACTACTACTGCTATTTCTCTACATAGTCTTCATTGCGTCAAACACTCTGACGCAGTGCTATTTCTGTCAAAGAATTTGTTTTTTGGTAGAATTCTGGTCTGTCACAACTGACTTCTTTACCTTGTAATAATAAATTGCTGAATTTGACATTAATCATGATACAGTATGTGCTGGAGTACAGCTGAGTACATTTAAAACAGCAAATTTGCTCTTTATTTTCAGTACTAGCAAAATAAATGAGAAGAATGTGTTTGTCTCAATACTTGATTGAATCACACCTGGAGGGAGAGACCTGACCCTGACTGGCTTGAAACTTTCCCACAGACCATGAGCATTAGCGTTGGACAAGTTGCTGCTGATCAATACTTGGAGCACGGTGAAACTCAAATTGATGTGAAACTTTGATTTTTCTTGACTGCTCCCATCACTTCTCTGCTGGGCCATTCTGGCTTCTTCACTTCTTGTAGACATGGATTTTCTTTGACAGGTGTGTTTTGACTGCTACAATGGTGGCATTTGGCCAATTCTCTTAGCTGACTGCAGCTAACAGGACTGCCCGTAGGAGTATGCACCGACAGAGTTGTCTATATACCCATAATGCTCCATGATTCTCACATTAGCACAGAATACCTGAAATCAATTTCAGGTATTTTAATGTGTCCTTTTTAAAGACTTTGTTAGGACAAATATGAAAAAAAAATGTCATTAATGTTTTATTGTAATGAGATAAAACACATGCACGTGGAAGTTTTGCTAAATGAAAGAGAGGAAGAGGAAGAGATCTTTGTTAAGTCATACATGAATAAACCATGTGTATCTGTGTGTAAGCTTTAATCCCTCCATATACAGTACACATTAACACATGGTGATTTGCGGAGATTATAGATGAGATAGAAATTCTATCAGCTGAATGATAATTTTACCATCCATTATCGCTCCAATACACATTCTATACATCATTTATTTCATTTACTTACACTAGATGAAAGGCGTTTTCTTTTCAACTTCAGGTGAGATGCCAGGCTATCGTAAGACTAGCCTCACCAGCGCTGGGCAGCGAGTCAGTCCACTGATGAAAAGCTCACTGACACAATTGTCAAACAGATTGGAAAAGACTGAAGGTCCATTAAAGATGCAGATCGATGAAAGATTAATAAAACGGCTTCAGTAAAGTTTTGGAACAAACTCTAGATGCTGAAACACAGAAATCCTCAATGGGTTTTTTCCTCTGTGAAGCTCAGTTCTGACTAAAACCCTTTCTTGACATTTTCTGATTTCAATGATTCCATCATTCCGATTGGCCACAAATACAAATACAAGTGTAAAAAAAACACAAGCCAAACCACTGTTATTTGCAATAAATACAAATAATAAAGAAAGCTGATTCATCTCACTCCAACTCAAACCAAGACCAGGTATCAACAAGTCCAACCCATTTACAGCCACAGACGTTCAATGGTCAGGACAGGAAACAGCTTTTCAGCAGCTCGTGCATGTGAGCTCGTTTTTTCAAAAACTACTTGGAGGCTCGTTTCATCACCTTAATTGTTTTTCCCTTCCTAAAGACGCCTCCCTGGTGCACGCTTATGCAATTCACGTGGTAAGGTGGAAATATATGCAGCACTTTACTGCCTATACTGACTCATTCAAAGTGTTGTGTCATAAAACATGACTGTGATTTTTAACAAGGACATGACTGTGAATTGAGTTTAGGTGATTTTTGAATAAAAAGTGTTAAACATTTGTAATAAGATATAAAATCCATACACATCCAGATATATTTTATTATTTATGGAGTTGTTCTAACTAGTAAATTACTCAACAAGTTTGTGTTTGTCCGGATTATAAATATAAAAAATATATTTAAAAAAAACTTCAATCACTGAAATCTATTCTGATAATGTACTGTTGTTTATGTCTAAAAAATACAAATTCGAAAAGTAGAGTTCATTTCTATCAGTCTGGAAATCTTTTTTAATATTAGAAAAAAAAAATCAAAATTTGTCCAATGAAAATCTGAAACCAAGCTCAACCATGGATAACATTATAGTTTTATGTCAACTTCATCCTGAAACTTGGCCAAATGTGCCTTTTTTCACACAGGAATGTGTAATTACAGCTTTGAAAACCAGATATTACCAACTGGATACAAAAAGCACTCTCAGACTCACATATCTCAGCCGACATTTTATCACAACAGCACTGGTAATTACCAAGCTTCTGGCTGGTACGAGCCTCAGCACCTGCTGGTGCAGCTGACCACCAGCAGCAATTACTGTACTTGGACACATGGATGGCAAATTTAAAAGCTTAAAAGATATAATTTTGTTCTCAAAGATAGGTGTATAAATACATGTGTGGGTAGTTTACATTGAAAATGGAAGTGTATTCCTACAAAAATTTTGAAGAAGAGCCTGTGATTAAACTGGGCAGAAATGTGTCCTTTTTTTGCCAACTGTGATTTCTTTTTTTTCTCCATTTCCTTTCTCTAAAATACAGTTTCATTTTAGTGCAGCATTTATTGGGCTGTTCACCAAAACACATGACCATTGATTTAGCCGTGTATTTTTAAGGCGGTAGAAGTGCACAATGTCCTGAAAACTGCAGGCCCAAATTTCATGCTGCATTTCCCAAATCCTGGAGTGCGGTTTTTACTGTCCTCACAAATAAACATTACTGTGCCACCGTTGCTAATAACTGAGAAAATGACTGCAAAGTAATCTATATTTACAGAGTCTGCCAGAGTGACAAAGGAACAGTTGGATTTATTCCAATGCATTCCTCTCTTGTCTGGCTTTGTGTCTTAGGTAAAGCTGGGAATCATCCCACGTGTTTGTGAGACAAACATACAAAAAGCCACACAAAGAGGAAGACAAACAAAACGGTAATCCACTGCGGGTGATGCTGTTTATTATTACAAACATTTGCGTTACTAATGCCTTCCCTTTGCGTTTCATTACGTCCTCGTCTGTGATGCCAGGGGCTGTTATTCCCGGTGCGGGGTGTGGCGGTTACGACAGGGGAGGAGCTGGAGGTTCTCCTCTGGAGGCTTCTCAGATTGATAAGAAAAAGTAATCAACCTACAGCAGAAGCAAAAGATTTGCTTCGCTTCATCAATTTGGCTTTTCTTCTTTTGTTTGTTCAGCAATGAAAGAAAAGGAAATCGCTTAAACAGTGATGTTGTTAAATGGAGTTGTGTCCACAGTGTGAAGAGGTGGGGGATAATACACTTCAAAAAGAAGAAGAAGCGTCTGCTTGGTGATAAGCCGTCTGTTTTAAGGGGCCAAGGCTAATGTTATTGTTTATTCACAACAGCACACGAAGTTAAGCCTTTGGAGAGACGAGAGAGCTGCAACCAAAACAAATCTGTAGTTATGGCCGGGGATCTGGACGATCTTATCAAGCTCCTCTGTGACCCTGCATAAACGACCGGGTGGAGATTCCAACACTGGAACCTTAGAGTTCAGAAAAGGTTTGTCAGTGGATACAGCAGTGTTTATTTACACACAGACTGGATACAGCAGGATAAACGTGGTCCGTAGTACTTTTGTGTTTTAGACCTGGACATGGTAAATCGTCTACAAACACAATCTAAGCCATGGTTAGCACGATTAGCCAGATTAGCCAAATTAACAGCTCACGTGACCCTATCTCGATGGTTCTCAAATTGTTATGGTCACTGGAATTTTTAAGCCCCGTCTGCCCCCAACAGCCCATGTCTTATTATATGAAGAGGGGGAAGTGCATCACTAAAAAGTATATTTCTAAAACTTTGACATGAAATGTGATGCTCTCAGAACGACAGCTGTTATGATTACAGAAAAATAAAAACCCTCACAACTAACCTTTGAAAAATGACTGGCAAACACAGTCTGTCCTCGGCTGCTGTTGGAGTAATGGTTGGATTTAGACGTCTCTGCTCCAGGTAACCATTAGTGGAGACAGGAGGGGAGAAAAAAAATATTGTTTTTATTTTGTCTGGTCAGACTGGTGTCTGCCTACATCTTATTTCTCTTCCTTTTATGGTGGTGCTCATGTGGAGTGTTAAATTTAATGTGGATGTCTCAACCCTACATTACCACCACTGCAGGCGCTGCTGTGTGTTTTATACCGCGGCTGAGGAAGTGTTTTTGGATCAACTGTGAGAGATTTAACAGTGTGTGGCTTTATGGGGCTAATTCCAGCAGACTGGTGTGATGCAGTCAGCACTTTTACAACACAATCACAAGCACTTTTCATGCGTCCTGAAGGGAGGGCTTTGAAGGTGACACTAAACGGAAGAAATGGGACTGTGTGGTGCCTGTACTGTACTGTATCAATGCCACCTTTGTCCAAATGTTCGCTGTCCGATAGAGAGGCGTTCAAGTGTCTTTAAGTTCTTCTGAACCCTTTTTTTATTTTTACCATTTCATTTTTAACTTTTATGAGTTAGGAATAAATCTCACTTGATTAAACTCTAAATAAAAAGTGACACCACATAACGATTACTGATCAGGCTGTGCAAAAATAGATAATAAACCTTAAGAAAAAAAGGGAACTGTGTCTGGTTCGAAAAATCACCTGGTTGACATCAGTTATCCAAACATTCCGGCCAGTACTTTTTTAGATTTATATATTTTTGGCAGACTATTTGAATAGAACAAATACAACATCCATCATATGTGGTTAAACAGTATTAAATATTATAGATCAAGGGCAAAACCTTCAATCGTGTAATATTTGTCTTAAATGCTAGTCCAGTGATTAACAATTAACAAATGGTGGCCTGCGGGCCATATCATGCCTGTGTAAGCCTCCAATTCAGCCTGCAACTGGATTCCAAAAAAAAAAAAAAAGTGATGTTTGAACACATACACATGAAAGAATGAAATCATCCAGGGCATCGCCGAAGCATTCTGAGAACAGACTTGTCTGGCCTTCATGTGTCAGAAATAAAGTGCACTGAGCATGTGTGACCGACGGTGGCCGCCCATGTCTGCTGTAAATGTTAAAGGAAAGGAAAGAAAAGTGAACTCAAATTTAACCCAAACACACAAGCAAATTTAACCCATCACCAAAGTGAACCGAAAAGTGAACTCAAATTTAACCCATCACCAAAGGGAACAGTGGGCAGCTTTTTGAGCTTTTTGACCTGGGAGCAGTGGGGGTCGGTGCCATGCTCAGAGCACCTCAGTTCGAACCTGCAGCCTTCCGGACCCAAGTCCCTTTTGTATCGTGACTCAGGTTTCTTAATTAAATCTCAAAGCCCCTCCACTAAAACAACACTGTTGGGTCACACGCCATTGCGAATAAATCCTGCAAATTTTATTTCTAATGGCCCACAAAATGCTTCTGGCAATATACTTGCTAATGAAGAGCAAGCCCAAAAATAGGCAGCCATGCAAGGTTGATGACTTCTTATGTTAGTCCGCACTGTCTTTTTACCACCTTAATAGGGTGAGTTTGTAGATTTGCAGTAAAACGGCACCTTTTGATTGATATTTCAATAAAATAAGGACAGGGCGATATTTAAGATATACATTAGAATAATATTTTACAGTGTTTCTGTTTTGTGCTGTGCTTCTATTTTTTTTTCAAGACCACTGCAGTGATTATATGAGAACTTGTATTCTAATTAGTCTTATCGACCAATAACATGTCTATAAATACACCTAAGAAATGACCTCGGCCCGGAGATCACTGACCCTGCTTTTTTTTTTAACCTATGTTGGTGAAAACAATTGCATTGGTGCAAAAGCCTATCAGTGATATCTTAATTAACAAGAGTCTTATCATGGTAACATGCCAAGGTAACCTTTCTGCGTCCTCGGGTGTTTGTATGTTCAGAGCCTCAGGCATATTGATGAATTCCATCTCATCCAATCAAGACCGTCAGTCATTACGGATTAGGTGATTGATTGTATTGATGCTATCACTATGGATGTCTGGTAATGTAAACAATGTGCTCGTCTCCGCGTGTGTGTGTGTGTGTGTGTGTTCACAGAGGAACCAGACATGAATAACTACACTGTTTATGACTGCAGTGACCGACAGTAAGACCTTGTTTATGGGGAAACGTATATTAGCTTCTGTTTGAGGTTGAATTGATTTTCTGTTGTCCGATTCGCGTGGGCCAAACAGAAGCCTAATCTTCTGTTCCTTCTTTGTATTAATGGCGGCGCTTTCTTCCCTGGGAAAAGTGACAATTACGGCGTGTCTGCGTTTGGATGAATGTTATTAGTCGACAGGCAAATGCAGGAGGAACGAACAGTGTGAGAAAGCCTTTCTTCCTATTTTTCTTTTTAAATACAAATAGAACAGGCGTTAATACAACAAAAACCCAGGAGTGATTACTGGGAACCGACCACAGACAGACTCACTGATCCAAATGAGCTGAAGGTCATTTCTGATGACTGATTTCAACGTGGGTGCACTGGGATACTTGGCTGTGACCATGAATCGAGACATGCCTGAGAGAGAGAGGGACACTGATGACGGAGTTATTACAGGTCATAAACCTCCAACGTGAAGATGCTATCACCCAAAACACACATCAGAAAACAGAGACACATTTTAGTTTCTCCCAGGGACTAATGTCCAATCCCTGTTTTAACAGCTAACACAAACAACCAAATTCATGAGAACACAGATTTAGATGTGCCAGTAAAATAAGACTGAGGATGAATTTCCTTTTGTACAGAAGTAATTAAATTGAAAAGAATCTATATTATGACAATACTAAAACAAATGACATGGGTTGGTTGAGATATTTGAATCACTTCATTATTATTGTAATAATTATATTTATGACACCCAGTCATGGGCCAAATTTGGGTGATTTGCGGACAGGAAGTGGTCCCCAGGCCGCGAGTTGAGTACTAACTATACATTTGTGTGAAAATAAAGAATATTTAAAAATTAAATAAAAGTAAGTTTCAGTAAAAAATTCTAAAACCCGCTGGCCTAAAACAGTGAACGTTGTCCTTAAACTCAGGCCAACAAACATGGCAGTTTCCCTCCAAACATATCGAGGACAATGACGTCCATTCACCCGAACAAAGTGAGTTGAAGTGAACGGTGGCCATGAGGAGCTGAGACAACAGTCCTTTGTTTGCACCAGGTATCTCTCTGTATCACTGTAAGGCTCTGTCTTCCTCTTCAACACACACACAGTTCACAGCTGAACACGGGCAGCTGCCGCTGATACACACCAATAGATGCTGTAGTGCAATAATCAAAAAATGAACAGCATCATCCTTTTTCCCAGGGGTAGGACTTACAGCACTAACAGAAAAAGACACTGTGACACAATGATTTCCTGGCTACATGCTGCCTGAATGCACAAGCTGAATGGATATTTTGTTCTCTAATAAATCTGAAACTTTTTTTACAATAAAGTTATCATTTTCAAGGTAAGATTTAGCAGGGTTTAGATATTTGAAATGGGTGGAGCCAAAAGGTCAGCAAGGTGGGGAGTGGGGGGGCTGAAATATCACAATACAATAACCATAATAATCTCAACAATTACACACACACATATAGATGTTTATTTATATTTATATATTTATTATAAATATAATGTATGTATTATTTATGGATGTCAGGTACTTAGGGAATTTTTCTTTCATGATTTCCCTGTGTATGTGTGTGTGCTTAAATTGAACAGTTAATTATGTCACTTGAACGCACCATTTTGTAGCACAAAACATACATACACACACACACACACATATATATATATATATCACCCTAGCAATCAGTTTATATAGATTTTAGTATATAAGTATTTTTGTTTTATTTTATATGTAACATATAAACACACATTAAAAGAATGAGTTCAGTTGAAAAGGGGGTTAGGTTGATTCTACTGCTGGAGAAAATATGTTTTTACACTGCAGAAGAGAATCCGTATGAACAATCTGCCCCCTCAGGAAGTCCTTGTTAAATCCACCACCACCAACCGTGACGTTTTTTAAGATTGACTGCAGTATTACAGCGAGCCAACAACTCACTTATTGACTCAATGTGTCCTTTTTTAAGTCCATTGCTGACTGGAATCATACACGGTATAGATATCTCCCCTCCTCCGTCCATAGACTGAATAATTGAACATGCATTTATCTCTCCACACTGAGGGTTTCATTAGTGGCACAAACATAATCGATTCCAATGTCTGGATCCAATCACTTTTTTCTAAGGTACTGGCCAACAGGGGAGGACAGAGGGAAGGAGGAGAGAAAACGAGAGGAGGTGACAGAAGAAAATCGGTTAAAAGAAAAGAGAGGAGAGGAGAAGAGAGGATGGGGCTGATGGGAGAGCAGATGTGCTGCAGGTATCTTCCACAGTGAATTATCACATATCCTGGGCCCTCAGTTATTAATAGCGTTGATTCTCACAAGCCAAGTCAGATATGGATCTAAGAACAAGTGAACTCTCAGACACAACTGTGTGAACAGTTCACAGCACCCATGAGCTGGACACAGACACGTCTGTCAGTAGAAAGGAGAGATGAGAACAGGTGCTGCTTTCATCCAGGGTCTGCAGGAACATCACTCTTTCAGGAAGGTAAAAGTACCACAACAGAATAGAAGAGAGTGCTGCAGAAGAACTAAACAGAACCGAGTGAGAACAGCTGATGTATCTGCTGACACTCACTCATTTAGTAGACTTTTGTTCTGCTTTTACTGCTGTTCGACTTGTTCTTATGCTGTGTTGTTCACTTGACGCCACAGTAAGGGTCCTGGGCAGGACCAAAGGCTTCACACAAGAAAGATAAAAACAATAATTATTAAAATAAAAGGTTTGTGAATTTAACTGATTACTTTTCCCTCACACTCACACAGAGTGAGAGAGAAACCGCGTCCGATGTCAAGGCAAATATTTGCTGTGAAGGATTACACCTTTAATACGTCCGACACATATTTAAATGAACTGAAC